CCGCCCCTGCGACGGGTCTCAGCCTGGACCCGCCCCTGAGACGGGTGTCCACACGTCAACCTGGTCCCGCCCCTGCCGGGAGGTGGGAGGGGTGGACTCTCACCAGGTCTGAACACGTTCGCCTGGATCCGCCCCTGTGGGGAGGTGGGCGTCCGGCCGGCCGATCGCCAACACGCATGCTTAAGTGTATGGAGCTTTCAAATTTTCGCGCTGCGCTCCGCGCGCCCTCTAGCGCCCAGGTGGCGCGGTCCGGAGGCGGCAGTTACCGTGGTTACCGGGGGTGGAGGGGGCGGCGACGCCGCCGCCGCCAGCCCGCCCCGCGCCGCTCGTCACTTCGCCAGTGACCAGTGACCAGTGACCTGTCTGTGTATCTTGCGCAATCCACGCCATGGACCTCATCAAAGGATATGGGGGTGACTCAGAGGAGGAAGAGGAGGCCGTGCTGTTGATCGATCAGTCCCTCGAGGAGGAGCTGAATATGGTGAGTACAGTGAAATCCTTGTGTTCGCCGCAATCCAGTTCCTCGAGTCCGATCGTTGTCACCGTGGAGCTACCGAAGTTCGTTATTTTTCGCGCGCCGAATCTGTTGGTGAGTCTGTGTTATACATACTAGCACTTTGGTGTTTTGTGTGCGCTGTTTCTTAAGCTTGCACCTTTTCTCTAGAATCACGAGTGCTTATGTATCGCAGTCCGTATGTTTCTTTTCTTGTTTGCACCTAACCTAGAAGCTTGAGCTCACGTTTCTCGCGCTCGTGCGCTGTAAATACTTCTCTATGCTATGTTTTCTCATGATTTGTGTCTTTTTAATGTACGAATTGTGTATGAGCGAGTGTGCTTTTCTTGTGGTGCGTGTGCCTTAACCTCTCTTGAGCGGCGCTTCGCGCCAAAACTGTTGCCTGTGCTCTTGTGTGTGATTGCGTCATAGCTCGGTGAATGCTCAAATCATAAAATTTCGTCCATTTATTTGCTGATTTCACTTCGCGTCGCGGTGGGCGTCCGTTTTCGGCCCCCGCCAGAACGGCTCGCCACGGGCCTTTGTTCTTTCCCGCTCTCGTCCCTCGAGCGTTCGCAGAGGGCTGAGAGAAAGGAGGTGATGCAATCGGCAAATGAATGGTTGAATTTTGACTTAAAATAGTGATCGAAACGATTTTGTGTCATTCCCTGCGACGCAACACGTCTGTTCCTGTCGGTGTTGGTCGGGGAGGGGAGGGGGAGGAGGGACGCGCGCGTCTTCTCGGAACTTGCCGGCGCGAGCGTGGGAAGGGAGCAGCGCTGAGCGCTCGCCTGGGCGAGGCCCTGATTCGTCTCGAAGGACATCGGTGTCCTGGTGGGTAGTGCGCCCACCCTCTCGTCGTGATCCTGGAGCAGCTTGCGCCCGACGTCGGGGAGGGCAGGGGTGAGGCCGCGGGAAAGGGGGGAGCGCGGCCGGGGCTCGGAGCTGGTGCGCCTGATGGTGCTCCTCGGGGAGTCGTTCGTCACGTCGTCTCGTCCTGGTGCAGGTCGTGCCCGTGCAGAGGGCCGCGTGCTCGCCCGGGCTGAGCACCGCGTCGACGCCCTGGACAACACGAACGCTCGTCCGGGGCTCGGAGTTGCTGCGCCTGGCGCCGTGCCTGACGTCCGCGGTGTGTGCGTGTGTGAGTGCATGGGCATGTACGCGTCGCGCGCCCTACCGTTTTGGGCGTGCACACGTGTTGAACAGAAACTAATATCCGTTTGTGACCGTCTTTTTCAGGAGTATGACTTGCTGGTCGTTGGACCCGATGCGTCCTCGACTCCCATTGTTTTTCCCCCCACGCCGCCGCCCACCCCACCACCTCCACCGAGCCCTGAGCTTGTACTTCAACAAGAAGTTGCCAGCCCACCGCCTCCACCGCCACCGAGCCCGGAGCTTGTACTTCAAGAAGATGCCCCTGCGGTCGACCCGGCTCCTGTGCACCACGAACTTCCCCCTGCGGCCGAGCCGGCCGTTGAGGTGTGTGTGTGTGTGTGTGTGTGTGTGTGTGTGTGTGTGCGCGCGCGCGTTCGGCTCCTAACTCAAGTTGTTTGTGTTCCAGGCGTGTGTGAGGGTGCGAACAGCACCCGTGCCACCCCCCACCCCCGCGGCCCGGCCGGCCGCAGCAAGTGCAGCGCCGGTGCCGGTACCGGCCATGTACGCCTTCCTACCAGCCCCAGGCCAGCTGGAGGAGGTCGTGGCGGCCGTCGCCCCTCCACAGGCGCCTGCCCAGGCCCAGTTGGTGAGTTTCAATGGTGTTGTAGGGAGTTGTAACCTAAATGTAGGTGAAAGACTAATGTTGTATGTTCCTGATCACAGATTGATGCACTGCCGATGCGCGGGCGAGGCGGCCGAGGTGGGCGAGGACGCGGAGCCCGGGGCCGTGGCCAGCCACATCCTGGCGGACCTCAAGGCCACCATGGCGGACCCCGGGGCGGACCCCGAGGCGGACCACGAGGTGGAGGACACCCTGGCGGAGCCCGTGGAGGACCCCGTGGCCGAGGGCAGCTCCACCATGGCGGA